GCGGGGGACTCCTGTCCCCATCATGCTCAGAAGCACTTCAGCACAGCTCCCTAGATGTCCCTCGACCGAAAACAGCCGGAATGGCTCTGGCTCTCCCACATCTCCCTTCTAGGAGGGTCCTGGCCTTGCAACCCCCCTCCCCATTTATTTTTTACGCACACCTGGCACCATCCTGAGCTTACTGAGATCACGTGCCCCTTCCAGCCCAGGGTCTTTTGGAGCCAGGCCAGAAAATGTGCTCAGGGGGCTATGTCAAATTGTGAGGGATTTTTCCCAAATTGAGATTACAATCTGGCATGCTATCAAAAGTGGGGTTGGCTGCTCCTACCCTTCCCTTTTTCTTCCCAGGTGAAGCAAGAATGCTGCTGTTTCCCCAGGAATTAGAGCCTCTTCACTAGGTGTATTTCTGCCTGCCGTGGACCCACTGGATCCCTAGCAGAATGACTGTTGGCAACCTTGCTTGCTTTTGGTGGTGGTGCGTCTTCAGCGAGAAGAGGGTTGGCTTTCTCTGTTTATGTGTTTGTACCTCACTGCTCTCTCCAAAGCAGTTTAGGATACCGTTTTCCTCTCCTCAGTTTTATCCTCACAACAGCCCTGCAAGGTGGATGGGGCTGAGAGAGCGAGAAAGTGACTGGCACATGGTCACCTGGAGGTTGGCAACCCTGTGATTGGTGGGCGCAGGGGAGGGGGGGCGCCAGAAGGTGGCCTTGCCTAGAGTACAAAAAACCCTGGAGCCGGCCCTGTACTGCACAGTTATTGTGAGAACAAAAACATAGATGGGGAGCAATGTTCCCTCTAAGCTCCACAGTGTTATGAGCAAAATTTCTACGTCATAAGTGAAAAAAGCAAGAAAGTTGTGAGCAAGTCTACATTTGACTATTGCATAAATTAATATTTACCTTTTACCCATAACCTTGTAAAAATCTCAGAATGAATTCTTTTAAACTATATTTTAAGAATAATTTAAACATTATTAGAGAAAACAGAATAAAGTCAAATTTCATTACAGAAAATGTTCTCTGTATGGGAGTAGACCAGGCATCCAGAGAACAGGTCTACCCACCCTTTTCAACTATACTGGTAGACCTGGCCTCCGGAGAACAGGTCTCCCTGCCCCAGTCCACTATATTGGTAGACCTGGCCTCAGAAGTCACCCTGCGCTGAGCCTTAGAAAACATACCAGCTCTTTGGGGGGGGGGGGGTGTGGGTAGAGAGACTCTTGTATTCTACTTTTGTGTGTGTGTGTGTGTGTGTGTGTGTGTGTGTGTGTGTGTGTGTGTGAAATATGACAAATTACAGAGGTGGAACAATCACTATCAGAACCCTGCGCAAGCTAACAAACAGGAAGTTGCTTAAGTGTTATCAACCTGTCCAAACTACTTATTTATTCAAATATTTATATCCCACTTTTACGATGACTCAAGGCATCTTACAAATCATACTGAAAAGCATAATGGGTATGCAATTATAGCCTATGGGGTTCATTATAGCCTATGGGGACCATTATAGTCAATGGGCCCATAGGCTATAATAGAGAATCGATCCATGGGTATCTGGGGCTCTGGAGGGGCTGTTTTTTCAGGTGGAGGCACCAAATTTGCACACAAAAAAACACCCCAAGTTTCAAAAAAATTGGACCAGGGTGTCCAATTCTATGGGCCCCAGAAGGAGGTGCCCCCATCCTCCATTGTTTCCAATGGAGGGGAAAATGCCTTAGTGTGATCAGAAGCTTAAAATTCCTGAGCCGGCAGCTAAAACTTTGTTCATCAGCGTCCCTCTAGTGCAGCTTAGGGGGAACTCTGATGGGGACAACGAAACTTGTAAATTGCTCTGGGTCCCCATTTGGGCAGAAAAGCAAGGTACAGATGCCTAGAAAATAAAGATGGAACAAAATCTCATTGTCTTTAAGATGGCTCAAGACCAATGTTCCCTCGAAGCCGTAGAGTCTTGTGAGCAAAAATTCTGCTTTGTGAGCTACTGGTATTAAAGTTGTGAGCGAGCAATTTGGCTACTGCATAAATTAGTTTGCTCTGGAGTCATCCTTCCTGAGCTAAGACAAAAATGTGTGAGCCGGAAGCTGAAAAACTGTGAGCTAGCTCACACTAACGCAGCTTAGAGGGAACACTGCTCAAGACTCCTGTTTTATCTTAGCCTCCAACTACACCCTGCTCTTGCATGCCACCCCCCCACAAACTTATCACCTTCCCTCACCCCAACAGCTGTATTTTTCCTCCCCTCTCATACCTTTCCAAGTGCAGTTCTCACCACACACCCCATTGCATGCACTTCAACCTCTCCCTTCCATGCCCCTCCTTCTAGTCCCTTATACTCCTCCCCCCAGATACACTCTGGCATTCTCATTCTACTTCCCCTAATGACCATTTCCATCAGCAGCTCTCCACCACTACATTCACACATAATGACTTTCTTCCTTCCTTCCCTCCTCCCAAAGTGCTGGTTCTCCAGCATCATGGTGGAAAAAGAGAGAAAGGTGGGCAGAGGAGAAAAAGAAGGTGGTGGCAACAGCAGTGAAGGAGGCGGTTTCTCTGTTGCTGAAATGAAGGGGGAGGCCCAGCATGCATGCACGCTGATGGGGAGGCAGTGACCCCCACCTCTGACAGGAGGGGGTGGTGGCCACACATGCACAGCTTGGCCCAACTGAGAAAGAGAGGAAAGGAGGACCCTCCAGTCAGCCAACCTGATGCAGGTTTTTTCACTGCTTCTGCCACCACCACCCTCCTCCCTCCTCTTCCTTGCTCTTTGGCTGAATAGCAGACCAATATGGGCCAGTTCCAGCCCCGGGGCATATGTTTGACATCTCTGGCCCTATATGGTTTGAGACCAACATACCTGAAGGACTCCCAAATCCCTCATTAACCCACCCAACCACTATGGTCTCCTTTGGAGGCCTTGCTTCAGAGGCTCCTGCCTTTTGAGGTCAGGCAGGTAGCAAACCTGGGAGAGGCACCAAAGCCCTGGAACACTTTGTCTGTCCTCTTCTATTGCCATCTTCTGAAGCCTTTTTTGTTTCATTTGGCATTTCGTCAGTTATCCCTCCTTCCTGACCCATGTCTTTAATTGCCGTTTTGATGTCTCTGAACGTATTTTAACTCTGTTTTTAGTTTGTTGTAATGAAGTTGATTTTAGGGGGTTGGTTTGAATGGTTTTAAAATGTGACTTTATCATGTATGTTTTAAATTGTTAGCCGTCTCAGGATCTTTGTGAGAGCAGAAAGCGGAACATTATTTATTTTTTGGATGTCAAAAAAATTTGCCTTGAAAATCCCATAAGGGTTTTCAAGGCAAAGGATGTACAGGGGTGGTTTGCCACTGCCTGCCTCTGCGTCATGACCCTGGGCTTTGTTGGTGATCTCCCATCCAAATACTAGCCAAGGACAAGCCTGTTCAGCTTCTGAGATATGATGAGATCAGGCTAGCTTGAGCTATCCAAGCAAGGGCATCAGTTTTGTAAATACTAATTAATGGCCCACTCTCTCCAAAGAAACACTCATTGTGGTTTACAGACAATTAAAACACATAAACAAAAAACCAGAATAATTGCATATTAAAACATTAAAAAAACAAATTTGAGGCCAAATTACGTATCTACTTGGAGGGCTGTGCACTGCATCTCTGCATAATGCATTGTTCTGGCCTGCTTCCTTTCAGTCAGCCCCCACTACAGGGGCAGCTAGTTCTGCCACATCATAGCCCTGTGGATGTAGAGATGCAGCAGAATGACTTGTCCTGGAAAAATGGCTGTCCACTGCACCTCTGCTCTCCCAATCAGGAAACTCGCTCATCAATTACTCGTAATTAGACACAGGGAGCTGGGGCCTCTCTAGGGTGGGTAATTGATTCACACATACTAAAAGTAAGTGTATGTGGATTCTAGAGAAATGTGCTTCCCATTTTTGTTTAGGAACCATCCGTACTTCACTTTTCAGAAATCTGTAAAACATTGTTCTAGACTATGAACAGAAACCCTACAGTTGCCACTAATGATTAGTTCATACCTACCTCATTGGCTAAAGCAAACGTCCCCCAGTGAATTCCAACAGACTTCTTTGCCTGAACATCTATATGAATCCGTACAGCTTCTTCAGGGTCCACATGCTGGTATTTCATAAACCACCTACCAAAGCAGAGAGAAAGCATTTTTCCTTGTCCATTACACAGATGAGACAGATTCTTGATTACAATGCATCATAAAACTCATTTTCACTTATTGCCTCTCGTCTCTTAATGTACTTTTACTATTCATTTATCACCCCCTTTGTTCGCTTCTCCCCCAAGCCATCTTGTACCCCATTTACCCCTCCTCAAAATTCACCCGTATATTTTCCAAAACATCTCTTAGACCACTTTAACTTCTGCCGCCAATTAACAGTCCCTTCCTACCTCTCCATCAAGAGACATCCAATATCTGTCCTCAAACTGTGAGTCCTATTGTTAAGGTCCATTACCTGTTCCTGTGACCTGTACAGTCCTGATGCTAAGTAAAAACAATGGTCATTTGATAGGTTGGGTTAAATGCTTCATGCTTTCAGTTTACGTACCTTGGCTCATATGCTCCAATGGGAATAGCAGCAAGATCAAAAGGTCCAAATCTTTTCCCTATCTCTTCAAATGCAACACAATAGCCAGTGTCTCCTGCAAAGAAAAACCTATTCCAAGGTCCCAAGACAGACCAGCTTCCCCAGAGAACTTTGTTGTCATCAGTGGCAGTCCTCTTGGACCAGTGTTGGGAAGGAGTAAAAACAAATGTGACTGCATCATGACCAGGAACACAGTTTTCTCCCCACCAGTCCAGTTCAATGACGTTCTCACAGCCACATTTCTGCATCCAGTCTAAGAGACCCAAGGGCACAAACCATCTCAGGTCACTTCCAAAACGAGCATTTAAATTCAACACAGTGTTGTAGTCCAAATGGTCATAATGGTTGTGGCTGATCACCACTGCATCTATCTTGGGGAGCTGATCTACTGTGCACGGAGGTCCTCGGAAACGCTTAGGACCCATCCACTGGACTGGAGAAACCCGAAGGCTGAAGACAGGGTCAGTCAGAAATGTAAGTTCATCCATTTCCACCATTAATGAGGCATGTCCTAGCCATGTGACTCGCATACCGGATCCAGTCTTTCCAGCTAACTCTGGATTTTGGATAAAGTATGGCTGCACTAATGGAAGTTCTCTGTCAAGTTCCTAATAAAAGAAAATAATATGGAGAAACTCAGAAAGCATGTTCTGCTTACAAGCTGGTAAAGGTAAATATTAGGGCCACAATTATAATGGGGATTTAAAGTCTTGAGACAGGGTAATCAGTGCTGCTTCCTCCTAAAAGCTAAAATAAATCAGAATATGTTGTCATGTTCCCATCCCTATACCAGTTTAATTTTGAACAGTGAAAGCTGCTTCAGATTTGACTCCCCAACACTTCAGTTTGTACCATACAAATATTGCACTATCATTGTGGTACAGCACTTATTCACACTTTAAATCGTCTTGTCCACACAGGAGGATTGAATTGAAGGACTGTCTCGTTCCATATGTCCCTACGGGCCGACTATGGTCTTCAGGCAGTCATCTGCTGGCTACCCCATCACTATGTAGGGTAGCTTACCCAACATCAACCAGAGCCCGGATCTGCTCCCTCATGGCTCCTCCTCTATGGAACGGGCTTTCCGAAAAGCACTGATCTGAATGAACACATTTCTTCAATGGCACTTTTGACATCTTTACTCCCTGTGGGATACAGTAATGGATGCGAGCGTCAGCAGGGGGGAGGGGCTGTGGTTCAGTGGTAGAGCATCTGCTTTGCATGCAGAAGGTCCCAGGTTCATTCCTTGGCATCTCCATAGAAAAGATCTGGCAGCAGGTGATGTGCAAGACCTCTGCCTGAGACCTTGGAGAGCCACTGCCAGTCTGAGTAGACAATACTGACCTTGATGGACCAATGTTCTGATTTGTGTGTTCAGTAGGATTTATTTATTTGTATGCTACCTCCTACCTGCAGTTTGAAGTGGCACTGTCACTTTATCACCACATTCCTATGATTCTGTTCTATGATTCCTACCTCATTCTGTAGCATGGGTAGACAAGGTCCTACTTCCCTTCTGCTAGATAAAGAAAAAAGATACTAAAAGGAGTCAGTAGCTCAACACTACCAGTACCATACAGCTGTTTCTAGGGAGTGGGAAAACACAGGGGACATACTGCAATGCAGTTATTAAAACAACTTGCTGAAGAGTGTTTAAGAGCTCAGTAGGCTGACCGGTTAAACAAAACATGGACCAGTTTAATTAAAAGATTTCTACAAAAGTTAACATGTGCCTGTGGCCTCCTGGAAGCTGAAGTCTGTGTAAACTGAAGTTCAAGAGCACCAGCATGTAGGTGTTCCTCTCTTAATAACAAGCAATCACTGTGATTTATGGCTACTGTATTTTAAAATACAAATGGTTCTTCTTCCATATTACATAGATATCATAAAAAGATCACAACTAATAATGTGATCCTGTACCACAAAATTTAGAAAATTTCCATCCTTGTGACATTGTAGAACAGTTTCTGTAATGGGTTGTAGTAAGCTAACCAGGATCTCAATGTAAGCCCATTTCGTAGCTGATCTTCATCAGAAGTTATTCATGGTAGATCTTCCTCAGAAATTATCTCCCTCTTATTTACAACTCAAGTTTTACACAAGAAGCAAGCCAGTCCATTAACGTTCCCTTAAGGTACAAAGCCTTCTGCTCTATTACTCTCTGGATTATAATTATAAAATACAGTAGCTATAAATAACAGTGATCGCTTGTTATTAAGTTTTTACGCTGTGATCCCGGTTTGTTTTTCTGCTCTAGTTAGTGTTTTTCTCTTATGCAGAAAGCAAGAAAAGATGGATTATAATGGACAGAAATGAATCAATCAACTTGGATCTTGTAACTATGGAAATTTGGCACTCCTACACAATTAAAGGAATATGCCAGCATTAGGACATTTGAAAAAAAGTATGTCCCTACCATTTCCGGTGTGACTGAAAAAAATCTGTTGGACTTAATTTTCTTGCCTCTACATGTGTACTTTTAATAGAAATGGATGTTTAAGACTTTAAACTTTATTCTATTGGCTTGCAAAATTTGGTAGATAATAGAAAAGAGATGTTAGCTATTTCGTCACCCAGAGACGTATCAAAACTGCTGGAAATTTCACCATCCAGCCTCATGCATACTCTCTCTTTTCTCATTGCCAGCTTCCTAACATTCCAATCCAGCCCCCACAACATAAAGAATGATATTGCTTCATTCCCACAAAAATAAATTCCACCTCAGTGCTTTAAAAGCACACCTGCGGAAAGTAAGCAAAATCTCAGATGCAAAATAAAATATAAGAATGATTTGGGCATCGACTTATTTCAACAGAAATCTCTGAAAGGTTACATTTGTTATCCTTTTAAATTCAGCCTGCCGTATCACACAGAGCTGGCCCCTGCAGCAGATTCGTGTGACCATCTTCCAATTCCAGATCAAAATCTCAGAACAGAATGGAAGTTAAACTGTGAAATATGAATAATGAAACAAGTATGAACCTCATGCATTTGCCAAGGCCAGACTGCAGATAATGTTTAATATGGATCAATCCCTAAACTGTCTTCACTTTGTTAAAATGCTGAACAGATTTAATAATTCATGGAGGCATGCCAATGGTTTCCTTTCCTGGGGAGTAAAAAATTAATTATATTACAAGCATATCAAACCTAAGCCTTGGGAATTTACAAGCAGTATACTGAAACTCTTAAAAACATGCACACTCATTATAAGAACTTTTCTCCATTACTTTCTTCTGTAAAATATTCTAAAAAATTCTCTGATGCGATGCTAAAAATCCAAGAAATATGATCTTCCCCCAAGTACAGGGGCAGCATTAATTAAATCACAAGATGTTGAAAGCAGCATAAAAATCCACATTACAGTACATTCCACCACAAATCCTTCACCAGAAATCCAGAAGTAAACAAGGGAGCTAATCTTACAATAGCCTTATTCTGCATTGGTATTACTATGCCGTCAGAAATATGGATGTGTAAATAGAGCTCAAAAAAGCGTACTGCAAGAACTTCAACAAAGTTTCCATATTTGTCCTTAATTGAAAAAAAGGCCTCAATAGCAAATTGGCCACAGAAACAGCTCTGTACAGAAAACATGTCCATTATTCATTTATCTAAGTTAATAAACTCCAATGTAGAAAAGAATCAGTTTTAATTTGATAGAGAGGAAAGCCAGATTGTAAGAAGAAAGACATGACCGGCTTTAGCAAGATTAGCTAATTAGTTTAAGAATTCCATGCTTACTACATAATGTTCGATTTCACTAAGCAGTGTAGCCCAGCATCATTTATACCAGCAGAAGGTATCCTTTCACTGACCAAACCATTTACATACATTTTGAATTTTGGTCACACTTGGCTCGGAGCACAGTAAGTGTTCCTTCTGTTGAAGGCATACCCATACTTTAAGTCCAATATGAGAAGGACCCTGAGGAAGATGCCATGGAGTGTCTGTTGACTCCCAGACATTTCCCAGTTCACATCCATCCTCATGCACATAGAGCAACATGTAGCTCCTGTCAACCTCTGTGGGAGAAATTCAAAGGCAGCAATCGCAATCAGAAATCTTTTGAAGTAAGAAAAGTCATGCCCTCTGAGTCACTTGTGTAAAGGTTGTTTCACCACCTCAGCGGTGTCCCTAACTGCAGCCCTCTTATTTTGTAGAACAGCCGCCAGTGGAGGGCATTCACTTTTACGAGGAACAGTAATTAATGGTCATCACAGAGGGTATCTCTCTACTGCACAAATAGTAAAATAAGTTACCATGCAGACTGATATTTCCATAAGGTGCTAATTGTGGTGCCCATATAATTTAATAGACAGTTTTATTCATCGGTGTCAAGTCCTTCAAAATAGCTGGGAAAGCGACATTAAATACTATACCCCGAGGCCAAATAGTTCCTATCTTATGCCAAACATTGTTTTTAGCAAATCAACACATTAAGAACATAAGAAGAGAAGAAGAAGAAGAGATTGGATTTATACCCCGCCCTTCACTACCCAAAGGTGTCTCAGAGCGGCTTACAAACTCCTTTCTCTTCCCCTCCCCACAACAGACACCCTGTGAGGTAGGCGGGGCTCAGAGAGCTCTTGACAGAAACTGCTCTTTTTCAAGAACAGCTCTTATCAGAGCTACAGCTTGCCCAAGGCCATCCAGCCAGGTGCAAGTGGAGGAGTGGGGAATCAAACCCGGCTCTCCCAGATTAGAGTCCGAGCACTTAACAACTACACCAAACTGGCTCTGTTGGATCAGGCCAATAGCCCATCCAGTCCAACGATCTGTCACACAGTGGCCAAAAATACCAGGTGCCATCAGGAGGTCCACCAGTGGGGCCGGGACACTAGTAGCCCTCCCACTGTTCCCCCCCTAAGCACCAAGAATACAGAGCATCACTTGCCCCAGGCTGAGAGTTCCTATCTATACCTTGTGGCTAATAGCCACCGATGGACCTCTGCTCCATATGCTTATCTAATTCTCTCTTGAAGCCGTCCATGCTTGTAGCTGCCGCCACCTCCTGTGGCAGTGAATTCCATATGTTAATCACTCTTTGGGTGAAGAAGTACTTCCTTTTATCTGTTCTAACCTGAACGCTCAGCAATTTCATTGAGTGCCCACAGGTTCTTGTATTGTGAAGGTGTGGTGCCCAGAACTGCACACAGTATTCCAAATGAGGTCTCACCATTGATTTATATAGGGGCATTATTATATTGGCTGATCTGTTTTCAATACCCTTCCTAATAATCCCCAGCATAGCATTGGCCTTCTTTATTGCAGTCACACACTGTCTCGACATTTTCAGTGAGTTATCCACTACAACTCCAAGATCTCTCTCTTGCTCAGTCTCTGCCAGTTCAGACCCCATCAATGTGTATTTATATTTAGGATTTTTGGCTCCAATGTGCATCACCTTGCACTTGGCCACATTGAACCCCATTTGCCATGTTGACGCCCACTCGCCCATCCTTGACAGATCCCCTTGGAGTGCCTCACAATCCTCACTGGTTTTCACCACCCTGAACAACTTTGTATCATCCGCAAATTTAGCCACTTCACTGCTTACTCCCAACGCTGAATCATTAATGAATAAATTAAAAAGCATCGGATT